GTCGCCTAACCAACTGAGCCACCCAGGCGCCCTCCCTCCAGAGCTTTTCATAGTTGAGTTGATAAGCTTCCTTCAGAGGCAGGAATAGGTTATCTAAGAGGAAAGCAAGATGTCTTTGAGGGTATCTTTACATGCTTATAGTGTCTTCAAAACATTAGGTGATCTAGGGGCACCTGGGTGGCTCAGTTGGTTAAGCGTCTACCTTTGGCTGAGGTCGTGATCCCAGCGTCCTGGGATCCAGTTCCACATCAGGCTCCCTGCTCAGCGGGGGGCCTGCTTCTCTCTCTCCCTCTGCCATTCCCCCTGCTTGTGCTGTCTCTCTCTCTCTCCAATAAATAAATAAAATCTTTACGAAAAACCAAACCAAACAGACAAACAAAAAAAGATTAGTTGATCTCGCAGCAGGGATGTAAAAGTTGCGTCTGGGGTGCCTGGCTGCCTCAGGAGAAAGAGCATGTGACCCTTGATCTCGGGGTCATGAGTTCGAGCCCTGTGTTAGGTGTAGAGATTACTTAAGTGAATAAATAAATAAAAACTTAAAAAAAAGTTGCATCTGGCCATCATGTGCTCTGTTGGATGGATGTCATCTAGGCACAGCAGAGAAATCTAAAGTTGAAGCCCATGATGAGCCCTCCAGGAGGACCATAGTATCCCCCAGGTGCCTGCTGAGCCCTGAGCCCGTGCAGGACCCCCACCAACCTCCGTTTGAGAGGATACACCTGCACGCATGGGAAGGGGAGGGTAAAGCAGGCATGGCGCCGACCGGGTCCATCCTCCCATTTTAGCGCCGTGAAGAACCTCGTCGACAGCAGCATCTACTTCCGCAGCGTGGAGGGTCTTCTCAAACAGGCCATCAGCATCCGGGACCACATGAACGCTGCTGCCCAGGGCCACAGGTAGCTCCGGGGACCGCGCCCTCCTGCTGCTCTCAGCCTCCTCGCTGTAAGGACCTTTGCTGCTCAGCCAGGAACTGCCGCTTCTCACTCCTTAGCTCCCTTTCCTCATCTCATGGTATCTGGTGGCTTCCTCTTGTCCTTTGGCATCTGTAGTGGGAGAGTTCAGCCACTCAGCACCTAGTCCTGAGCTCTGCTGTGGGTCCAGCCCTGGGCTGGGGACTGGGGACATGGCAGTGACCAACACCCGCGTGCTCATGGTCTCACGGGGAAGCACACAGCGACCAGGTAAACACGGAACAGACAAGAGCACTTCAGATGCATGAAGGAAGAAAAGGGAGGTGGGAGCAGAGGCCTGAACACCATGCAGACAGAGGTGCCCTGGTGAGGCCAGAGGCCTTGGGGCTGGTGATCTGGGGCTGGTGTTGAAGGAACATCTAGGAGGTGGGTGTGACCGGAGCTGGGGAGCAAGGTGGGGGGAGCCTTACCAGCAGCAAGGAGGGCCCCGGAGCTGAAGGAGGCTTCAGACCGAGCACCAGACGGTCTCAAAATGAAAAGCACTTGCAGTCCTTGCACACGGGGGAGAGAGTTTTTGTTTTCATTTTCACACTAACGTAATAAACATACATTTGAACACATGGGCACGTGCTGTGAGCTGGAACCCGACTTTGAAATATGTCTGGCTCCTGCAGTTTAGGGGTTCTGGCATGCCTGTCCCCCACCAGATGTTTAGAAAGAAAAAAAAATCTGTGTCACTGTTTCTGAAAACTGAGACACAAGAATTGTCAAAAACAAAAAAAGCCTTGTGGATGTGTAAGAATGGGCATGCCGCCGTTCCTGAGGGTAGCATCACGTGCGTTTCTCTGGGTTCGTTGTGCCGCAGGTCGGTGACAGCCACCATCCGGATGAGAGTTTACTGTGTAGTGTCACACATGGCACCCTGGGCACAGTAGGGCTGCGAAAAGCCATCGCTCTGACTTTTCATTCACGGTGTCCCGAGTGCTTTCGAAGGCATTGCTTGAGCCTGCCACTGTGAAAAGGCAGGTGCTTCTGAAAAAGGCCATAGTGGCGTGATGCGCTTCTCCCCCTTCTCTGTGCCAGCCCTGTGGGTTTGAAGGGCCCGGTCCTGCATGAGTCCCCACCATGACCTCTGAAGTGGGTGGCTGGTCCCATTTTTACAGAGGGTGCCCTGAAGGCTGAGGCCAGGGGTCTTAGGGGACCGGAGGGTGATCCAGTCCCATCTCGCCTAAGTGAGCAGGCCCGACTGGCCTCTGACCTCGGCGTCAAGGATGCTGCACATGTTTTGTTCCAGCCCTGAGGAACCACCCCCACCCTCCTCAGCCTGAGCTCAGAAGAGACTTGGAGGTGCTTTGGCCCCTCTGACGCAGGTCAGTGCCAAGTGGGGCCATGAGCCTCCTTCCTCCGTGCTCTGAACTAACCCACCCTCTCAGTGTCCCAAAAGGGACCTGCTTGTCTAACCATGTGGGCTTTCTCCCTGGCTTGTAGGATGCTTTCATCAGTGGGAGGCTTCAGGGTGGTAGGGACCTTGAGCCCTCTGCTGCTCAGGACATCGTCAGCCCTTCTCCCTCGTGCTCTTTTCTGCCACCTTCCTGCCCCTTATCCAGGCCACAGACCCTGTCCCAACCCCAAGTTCCCCCTGCCAAGACAGAAAGGGGATTCCATGCTTCTCCTAACCTGCCACGTGCCCACTGCTTGCTCTGCTCACACACATTCTCTCAGGCAGAGCCCAGCATGGCGGTTACCCACCCAGCTCAGGAATCTTCGTCCCACTGCCGACCTGCCGTGTGACCCTGAGAAAGTCCCTCCCCTCTCTGGTCTCTGCTTTTCCCTTCTGTCAGAGTGGCTCGTCAGGCAGCGGAGGGTGCTGCGCCCAGTGATGTGTGTTGTAGCTGTCAGCTACTGCCGCATGACAGACTTTCCCAGAACTTAGGGGCTGACATACCAGTCGTGGGCCTGCTCACAGTTCTGCAACGTGGGCTGGGCCCCGCTGGGCAGGTTGGCCGGGCTGACCTGGAGGCCACCATCTGGCACTCATCAGAGTTTGATGGGGCTGCACAGTCAGAGGCGGCCTTGCTGTCACATCTGAATCTTGACCACTGCTGTCTGGCTGCTGGGGGTCCAGTCCTCCTGGGCATGGCCTCCCAGGCAGGCCAGCCCAGGCTTCTCTGGGGACCGGGTGCCAAAGAGAGCAGCCCCAGCATGCACGACGTTCACCTTGCGGCTGTTCCATTGGTCAAGGCCAGCCATGTGGCCAGGCCCAAAAGCCAAGGGGTGAGGCCTGCAGGGAGGCATCAACACCAAGAGTGTGGCTGACCATGTGAGGAGAGCATGGCGCCCAGGAAGGCCGCGCATGTTGCTCTTCTGTGCCCGTGGAGGGCAGACCCCGGCAGATGGGAGGCCCCTGAGGGACTTTCTAGCCCTTACTCCTGTAGCTCTCAAAGCCCTGCTCATTTGCCGGGCACTGTGATGGCGCTCCCAGAGGGCTGGGGTGGGGACCGGGCCTTCACAGCCCCAGAGCAATAGCGCCTCCCCAGAGCCGAGAGACAACAGAGTTCCTGCCTGTGCGGTGTGAGGACTTCGTGAACAGCTGCTGGGTGCTACGTTTAGCTCTCTCGGGGTACTGGGGAGTCCCACAGGCTGTGGGATTGCCTAGGGGGCATCAGGAGGGCCTGGAGCAGGGGGCGCTGCCAAGAGCATCAGCAGCCCACCCCAGTGGCCTGCACAGGGTTGCCCACCAGCCCTGGGCCCACAGACCACCATCTCCCTCCTCCCTTGTCTTTGCCCTGGTCCCTCCCACCGTCCAGCCTCAAGGGTACTGCCCTTCCGACACCGCGTGTCTTCTACCGCCCCTCTGCTCCTGCAGCCCCTCGGAATAAAATGCTCTGTGGCTCCTCCAGATCCTGCCTGTGTCCCTACAGACCCTGGTCCCTTCCTCTTCAGAATTGCTGCCCACTGTCCCTCTCAGAGTCTTCCATCCCCACTTTTCCCCCGATACTGCGCCCCACAGGGTGATTGGTGGTCTTTATAGGGTCAAGTTGCAGTCTCCCTGGCTTCTGACTTCACCTGCCTTTCCAGTCCTGGGGCTGTACGCACAGTTCCCTTTTATAGAAGAGGAAACAGGCTCAGAGAGGTGAGGCAGGGTCACCACCCTTGACCAGAAGTGGGAGTCATACCCGGACCCTCCAAGCCCTGGGTTTCACTTCTCCCAGTCCCACCCAGGCTCCTGCCTCAGGTGCTGCCTCATCAGGGTGGCCTTGCAGCCCTGAGGGTCTCACACCTCTCCCTGACTCTCATCCCCCAGCCCAACTAAAGCCAGGCCTTTGGACACAACTCTGGGATCTGGCAGGGACTGAAGACCGAGTAAGTGTGGTCAGCACATTCCTCTTCTGCCCAGAGCCTCTGAGCCCCTCTGTGAATGTCTAGAGATAAGGCTTTGCTGCCCCTGGACACCTGCCTGCCCCCCATCAATCATGGACACGGTCATGGCCATGGCCCCTCAGACCAATAACTGCCACCCTGTTAAACCTGATCAGCCACTCACTGTGTGCCCGGCACTGCTGGGGCTTTTGCAAGGGTCATCTTTTCATCCTTCATCCTCAGGCAGCCCTGTAAGGCAGGTGTCACCCTCAAATACAAATGGGAAAAGAGTCTTCAAGAGGTGGCATGAGCTGTACAAGGTCACACAGTGGACTCGTCTGGCTTAGTCCCAGCCCTGTCTCTGACATGCTGTGTGACATGGGGCCCAGAGCTGGGTTTCTCTGGTCCTCCCTTTCTCCTCCTGGACAAGGAAGGCTGGGCTGGACCTTCCCTACAGGCTGAGGGGGGCATTTGTGTACCTACCTGCATGGCCTGCATTCTGTCTTGAGCAGAAATGCCCACCCCAGACTCGGGCCATATGGAAAAGCTACCTTTCATTGGCCAATCAGAGCCTCCCTCTCCCAGGTCACCGAGACTGGGTGGAGATGAGCGTGTGACCTAGGGAGAGATCTCACCCAGAAATTTTGCTGGGAAGCATGGGGAAGTCACTGTCTTCCCATTAGGGTTGTTGAGCTAGGCAGATAGAAGGGGAGACCAAGAACACTCGTGGGGTCTTAGACCCATCTGTACCTGACACCAGCAAAACTTGATTCCTCAGTATCATTAGTCTCCAACTTACTGTATTTGCCAAAATTGCTCTGAGTCAATTTCTGCTGACTGCAGGAGAGCCCACACTGACCGCTATGACTGTCAAGGCTGGAAGGTCATGGTGCACAGTTTGTACCCCTCCAAGGTCAGCTGTGTGTCAGTGCAGTATCCAGCACCAGATATCAGGGAGAGCAGAATGGAGTTGTTTGGGGTAGAGTCAGGGTGAGTCCCAGGCCCACTGCTCTGGTTGGAAGAGAGGGGTGCCAAGAGTCAGGGTCACCCTAGGGGAGAGAGGGTCCTGGTGGGGTATCAGTATTGTGGAGGAGCCTGAGGGCCTAGAACGGGGTTCATGAACACAGGAGGTGTGGAAGGACTACCTCCCACAGCCAGGAAATAGGTCAGTTCTTTCCCCTTTCTAGGGTGTATTAGGGGCCTCAGTCCACCATCCTGCCTCCGCATTGCCCCAGCTCAGTTTTGCAGGGAGGGAGGATCCTTAAGTCCACCCCATTAGTGGCCTTGACTGGTGTGTGGCATCCCCCAGATTCACTCTCCCTCTTGTTTGCCCACTCTGAAGGCACTTCTTGTCCGACTGTCCTTCCACCTGTCTATCAAGCAGCCATTTGTCCAGCAAACCTTGACTGCCCTCTGTGGGCCAGGCCCTGCCCAGGGGATGCCCTGGTGAGCAAGACAGGCCAGCCCTGTCAGACCTAGGGGTCAGACGGACAGGCCAGACAGGCAGCTAAATAAGTTAATTGCATATATTCCAGGGGTTGCTGAGGGCTTGGCGGGAGCAGCCATGGTGTGCCCCAGACCCTCCCAGGGCTCCCCATCACCCACAGTCCCTCCGTGTGATCTCAGCTAATGACTCATAGTCTTCTCCATTCAAAGAGCAGGACTCTGGCCTGAAGACCCCTCACACTCCCAGCCTGGGGGCTCCCTAGGTCGCTAGTTTATTTGCATTCATTTGCATGTCCGTCTCCCACTCCCACCTAGAGAACGTTCACACCCGCTGGCCACCAGGGGGCGCAAGAAGCAAAGACTTGGTCAGGCCAGTGGGCCTCCCAAGTGGTCATTGTCCACATTCCTGGCTGTTCCTGCTGGGTGCGCATTGTGATCCTCTGCTCTTTTTCACCCCATACGTCCTTGCCCCCATTTTTCAGAGCGTGAACTAAGGTTCCATGAGGCCGGTTTACCCAACAGGACCTCGCACCTACCCTCACGTGCTTGCTCCTGGGCTCTGCTGGCAGCCTCCCCTCCTTGCCAAGGTGGAGGTGTGGGCATTCCCAGACCCGACTCAGTAGGATTTGCTCCCAGGACAGCCCCAGAGATAGGAATTGGGGGTAGCTGGGAGAGAGGCAGTAAGCTCCTTGTCCCATGAGGCATTCAAGCTGGAACCTAGCATGCATGAGGGTAGGGATGACCTGAAAAGGATCTCAGCTCTGGGTGAATTGTGAGGCCACCCCAGGCTCTTTCAAATCTGTGGATGGGGTAAAAGGAGGCCCAAGAGAACAGTGACTTGCCTCCAGCTGGCCCACAGTGGTCAGGTTGGGAATCAGACTTCAGTTTTGGCTTTTTGTCCTTAGCCCCGACCCAAGTTCTGTTTTTTATTTCAGGCCTGCTCTACACTCCCAGAGGGTCCTACCCCTAGGAAATTCCTTCCTAGCTCTGCCACATCCCCCAGCAAAGTCTTTGGATGCCTCAAGCTTGGTCCCCATGCCCCTCCATCACTCAGACCCTCTCCAGGGCTCTCTAGTTCTTCAAGAAACCCTTGAAGACACCCCTTTGGTGCCACCCCATACGGGACCCGGCCTGGAGGAGCCTCCCTGTTGGGGGAAACCGAATCAGACACAGACATCCCCAGCCGCCTGGGTCAGTGCTGGGCTGGGAGGAGGGATGGGGATAGAGGAACCCCAGATGGGAGGAGGGGGCATTGAAGGTGGGCCTCGAAATGATTCCAGCCTCCAGGAGGAGGGGCTGCTATTGTCCCCATTTTTCACATGAGCGAACAGACTCCCAGTGGTGCAGTGACCAGCCTGAGATCATGCAGTGAGTGGGAACCGGAACTGGGATGGGGACCCAGGCTCTCTAACCCCGAGGCCCTATCTACTGGACCACACTATACTTGCCATGGAGGGTCCTTCAAAGCCTTCCCATTCTGACATTGTGGGAGGCGATCTGGAGGAGGGAGAGGCAGCTTTTCCATTCCTTCCTACCTTCTCACCCTAGCTCCACCTGTGCACACATCCCCCATCCTCCAGGCCCCTTCCCAAATCCCCCTCTATGGCCCTTTCTACTCCTCCCCAACCCTCCCTTCCACTCTCCAACCTCATACTCCAGCAACTAAGGGTGTCCCCTCATCTGAGAAGACTGAGGTTGAGACTTTGACTGCCCTGCAAGGGGATGAAGGTTCACATGGGGTGACACAGCCAGTGATGGGGGAGGGTATAGGACAGGAACTGGGGTAAAGACAAAAAGGAGGGGCTGTTATAGGAAACAGTGCAAGTGATAGAAGGTGGAACTGGCCAGAATGGGAAGGGGGTGTGGAACATGAGTGGTGGTGCGGGGGGAGAGCAGGAGCAGGAACATGGGAGGGAGCCCTAGTGGTGGGAGGGGGCAGTGGGTGGGATGCATGGGGGTAGACCCAGCCAGCTCAGATCAGGCAGACCCTTCCCAACACGTCCTGGCTACTCCCAGAGCTGCTTCAGCTGCTGCCCTCATGTAACCAGAGCCTGCCTGTTGCATCAGAGGCGGGCGGGCAGCCACAGGTAAACAGAGCAGCCCTCGGGGGGCCCGGGGCTCCCCAGCCACCTCCATGCTCCCCAAGCCTTGTTCTGCGCTTTGGAACCAAGGCAGAAGCCCCTATCCTATCATGGGCTCTGGTGTGTCCTTGGGACATCTGAGTGTTTGGCGTTGGGCATTGTGGGGCAGTGTAGTGGGGGCAGAGGCAGGACCCCTGGTCCCTACCTTCTGACAATGTGAACCCTAGCTTATGTCCAAAGATGAAAGCTTTGCCCAGACTAGGGATCCAAACTGCCCATGTCACAGATGGGTAGATTGAGGTTTGGGGAGAGGCCTCCCAGAACCCC